ACCTGCCACAGCGGCTGCTGCGCCTCCGCGTCCGCCCACACGTGGATGATGCCCCCGACCATGGCAAAGCGGTGCGCGCTGCGGGGAAGGGGGCGCCACTTGAAGGGCTCCGGGTCGATGTCCGAGGGCGACGCCGCCTCGGGCTCGTGCTGCGGGTGAAGCAAGGTGGGGGGGGGGGCCGGGGCGTGCGTATGTGTGCTCGCATGTGTGCGTTGGAACGTTCATGCGTGTATTCAATACCCTGAAACCCAGCTAGGCAAGCCACCCCTGGACTGCCACGTGGCAACCTGACAAACAACGTTCACTCTCGGGAAGGGAATCGAGCTCAATTCTGCGCAGAATGCCAGGTTGACCCCTTACCAAGTGGCCACACTCCCCTTGCCCGGCCCAACCCAGCACCTCCTGGCAAACCCAGCACTCACGCCCTCCGCCGCCCGGCGCTCACCCGCCGCTGGTCCAGAGACGCCGCCGGCGCGAACAGCCACTTCCTCCTCATCTCCATGCAGGCCAGCAGCATGTTGCACACCTCCTCGCTCTCCTCGGTCAGCAGGTTCTCGGGGGTGATGACGCGGCAGTAGTCATCATACAGCACAGCTGCCGCCTCGATCGCCTGTGTGAGGTGGGTTGATGAATGATCGATGGTGGGTTGGCAGCACAGGAAGGCGCAGATGGGGAGTAAGCGAGGAACAAATGCGGGTGCAAACAAACGGAGTGCGCTGACGATGTGAGCTGGACTTGTTGATGAGTAACGGGCAGGCGGAATGGTGTGCATGTGGCAGCTCAACTTGGGGACAGCCAGGGCAGGTGCGCTGCTCCTCCCAAACAAAACCCGGGCTGACGCGCGTCGACGACGCACACCACTACCATTGGCAGCAGTAGCGGCAACAGCAGCAGCAGCAGCAGCAGCAGCAGCAGCAGCAGCAGCAGCATGACTGCTGCTGATGCTGCTGCTACTGCCAACGTGTCTACCCTCCAACCAAAGCAACGCACCTTCCCAGTGTCGGCCAGCTTGTCTGTTGTCGCGGCAAGCGTGACCTTGGCGTGCGGGGCGCCGGCCGAACCGCCGCCGCCACCCACCGTGCCGCCACCCCCGCCACCGCCCACGTGCAGAGCTGGGTTGCGAAGCACCTCCATTGCGGCGTAGTTGCCGCGGTCAGCGGGCGGCAGCGGCGTGAACGTATCCACCGGGAGCAGAGACGACGCATGAGGCTGCGAGCTCGATGTTGTGATTACATTGGTGTTGAGCCCCTCAGCTGGGCGGCCAGAGCGATGGAGATGTGGTGTCTTTGCTCCTGGCCCCAATCGTGCCCTCCCACTCCCCTCGCAACACCACAGCCCCCGCCCGCCCCGCTGCCAAGCAACAGCCATCGCCGCCCACCTGCGGCGCCACGTCCTGGCCGCCCACCCGCTGCCCAGCCGACGCGCCGCCGCCGCTGCTGCCAGGCGCGCCCCCGCCGCTGCTCGCCGCCACGCCGCCGCCGCCGCTGCTGCCCGGCACGCCACCGCTGCGCCAGCCGCGCCGCCACTGCTCAGGCACACTGGGAGCTGCGGCTGTCTCCGAGGGCGGCTCACCCGGGTCCACGTCCTCCTGTCCAGCACGACAATGAAGAGTGGTTCACGGCAGGTTAGGGCAGTGGAGGTGCAACCAAGGCGCAATCCATGTGAGCCAGCTGTGGTGAAGGCAAGAAATGGCGCGCTGTTTTTTGGATGCCAAAAGACCGCAGACAGGTACAGCAGCTGCCTGCTGCAGCGGGCCAGCATGGCAGTAGCAGCAGCTGCAGGGCCCCTGTGATGCATCGCAGTTGCAGAGCCTGCCCGGGCTCACTCGCGCAAGCCACTCCACCCGAGGCGATCGAGGCGGCAGGAGAAGCTGCTGTTGCAGCTGCTGCTTCGCGGGCAGGTGCGAGGGCAGGCAACCACGTGTTTAGCAACGTCCTGCACCGCGTTCGACTAAGGGCAGGCGGCCCAGTGCGCCTGCAGCGCCTGTAACAACGCTTGGCATGCAGCCTCGCTTTGGAATTAACGGCATCTTGGATGGCACTCCGCCGTCCCTTGCACACCTGCTGCTGCCAGGCGCCGTTCAGGTGTTGCTGCCGCATGGGGGACGTCCCTCTCTGCGGCCGCCGATCAGCACGGAAGCACGTGTGTTGGTGCCGCAGTGTGATGAGGAGCGGGCCGAGAAGGGACGCATGCATGCGTCACAGAAAGACGCGGGACATCGGTTAAAACAGGAAGCGCTCACCTGTGGCCGGGGCATCCTTGGCTGAGGCTCCATCAACCCCCCTGTGGCCCGCTGCTGGTGCGTCTGCTGCGGTCCAGGCTGCTGCCTCTGCTGCTGCCTCTGCTGCTGCTGCTGCTGCTGCTGCTGCTGCTGCTGCTGCTGCTGCTGCTGCTGTTGGTGCTGCTGCTGCTGCCGCTGCTGCGGCTGCGGTGGCGGCGGCAGGCCCGCCTGGAAGCGCTTCGGAGAGCCCCCCTCTCCGCTTGCCCTGCGAGACCAAATGGAAAAGGTTTGATGAGCACACTGCCGTGCATGATGACGCAATGCAATAGGATACTCGCAGCTGGGCAGAACCTCGATGGAAACGCTTACCTGTGGCTCCCGGGGTGATGCGACGTGTCACCCCCCCAGCCGTCGGCAGTCACATCCGCAGCTGCTACCGAGCGCTCCTGCGCCTGCCGCGCATAGTGGGTAACAAGTGCGTATGCACCCCCTGCGGCTGCTGCCGCACCGATAAAGCAGCCCCCGGCAAACACGAGCAAGCTGCCGCTGCTCGCGCTATTGCTGCTTGCTGCACCGCCGCCTGCCTGCACGCCCCGCCCATCAGCGCCGAGCCCCATGAGACTTGGGTTGACGCGGGGCCACTCGTACTTATACAGATCGCTGTGCACGTGGAGAGGTGGTGTTCGCTGATAGCTGTCTCTAGATCGATTGATTGCTGTCGGCTCGAAAATGTGCAACCACCTTGATGACCAATGATATATTGCGCCGGGTCCGTTGATACGATATGGTGCGGCCAATTTAAACCTGTGGAAGGCGCCCGAAGATCACGAGAACGCAACGCAACCACGCGAGACACTACGGACAAGACATGGTGGGGATGAAACATGGATTAAAGCTACTACAATGCTCGTGCTGGTGCCCCGTTCGGCGCAGCGCTGCACATGAGCCTGGTCTGCACCATGATGGAGACCAGGTGTTGACCCAACCAAGCATTGGCACTGGGATGCTGTGATTGCCACAGCGTCCCTCGCTACCCACGGCTGTAGCTGAGCACAACACCAATCTTTTCAGCCCTGATACAACACAAGCTTTACAGCCGTGGGTAGCGAAGGACACTGTGGCAAACTGGCAATCACACCATCCCAGCACAATGGATTAAGGCAAATAAAAGGCATCGTCGCGGCTGCTTTGCGCGCGTCGACACCATACTTGCTGCATCGTCCGGAAGCCACTGAGCGTCCTTGTGAGAGCCCAGACCACCCAGTAGACCATAGCGTCAGCAGCGAGCAAGAGCGCAGTGCAGTGTCCATGGCCACCCACGCGCTGGGCTTCCCAAGGAACCAGGTGGCCGGCGCCTGCAGTGCGACGACGTTGAGGAGCTGGCGCCTGGCGATGCACAAGCAAAAAACACGCACGCCCTTTTCGCCATACATTCCAAGTAAGCATGCCTCGACGAGAGAGAGAGAGAGAGAGAGAGAGAGAGAGAGAGAGAGAGAGAGAGAGAGAGAGGAGAGAGCGCGAGAGAGAGAGAGAGAGAGAG